ATGTGGTCCGATGAATCACGTTTCCAGTTGCATCATGCAGATGGCAGAGTGAGAATTTGGCGGGAACAGCATGAAAGCATGCACCCCACATGCATGAGTACAACCCTTCAAGCTGGTGGGGGCAGTGTTATGGTTTGGGGCATGTTTTCCTGGCATGATTTGGGCCCTTTAATTCGTGTGGAACAAAGTCTGAATAGCACAATATACCAAAGTATTGTTGCTGATCAAGTTCATCCTCATGTTGATGGCGTATCCCAACGGTGATGGCTTCTTCCAACAAGACAATGCGCCATGCCACGGCGCTCGTGTTGTGCAGGAGTGGTTTCAAGAACATGAGGGAGAATTTACCTTGCTTAGGTGGCCCCCACAATCACCAGATCTCAATCCAATTGAGCATTTGTTTGACGAAGTTGAAAGAGCCATCAGGCAGCTGGTTCCACAACCATCAAATCTCACAGAACTGGACAGTGCTATTCATCAGGCATGGTGTCAGATTCCTCGCATCACCTTTCAACATCTCGTGGAGCCAATGCCAAAAAGAATCGCCACAGTATTGAAGGCAAAAGGTGGCCCAACGAAGTACTGATGGGGTGGTCATAATAATCTGGCCACTCAGTGTGTGTGTGTGTGTGTGTGTATATATATATATATAGATATCTCTATATATAGATCGATAGATCTATATATAATTAGTAAATTAATATACAAACCTGTTGTTTTTTAAACTGACTTCGTAGACTTCTAAATACATTCCACACTTCAGGTCATTGACCACAGACAGTACAGCAGCCGGGAAGAATTTGACAACGCCATCGATAAGGTTCTGGAGGAATTCTCTATCCAATTTGTGTGTCTGGCCGGCTTCATGAGGATTCTGTCAGGGCCATTTGTCAGGAAGTGGAGCGGTGAGTGAGGTTTATTGATTCCTACTTATAAGTGCATGAGTATGTCTGTATTTTTATTTCATTTTTACATGAGGAGGTCTCTTAACAGGTTCACAGTGTATTTGCGACCCCCTGCGCCTGAAATCCTGATCACCCAACTGATTTTTACACTAAACGGACACATCAAGAAGTGGTTTGGGTCAGGTTTTAGTCTGTTGCAGAACTATTTTAGAGCAACTGAAGGAAAATGTATGAACCAAGCTGTAACCTTGTAGTAAAATATATCTGAGGTCAATCTAAACATTAAAAAGTAAGAAACTAAGAAGCTGTGCAGCATCTCAAACATTCTAATAATAATATACAGCGCTAAATTAAAGTTAACCAAAATGCAATCATGCATTAACCCCTTCATGACTGAGCTAGTTTTCAGTTTCTGTTCATAAATGACTGACACGCTTTTTACATTTTTGCTGTGTGACTCTTCCACGGCAGTAATATACATTCTTACTAAATGTACCCACACATATTATATATTGTTTTTTAGAGGGCAGATAGGGCTATATAATTATATCAGACATGTACCTAACGCCTCACTTAGTTTGAATCCAAATATAAAAAATGAGGGGAAAAAAACGAAACACTTTTTTTCACAAGTTTTGATTATTTTTTTGAATTTTTTTTATAATTCTAGTATAAAAATATATTTATAATTTTTTATTTTCCTAATTTTGTTTTACACTTTATTTTTTTTAATACTTTGTAAAAAAAAAAAGTAAAAACAAACTTTTTTGTCAGTTTATATCAAGCAGTCACTATGACTGCTTGATAACTTTTTTTAATTTTTGGCTATTATGAGGCTGCTCCAAACTTAGGAACAGCCATAATAACCATAGAGACTGATCCTGACAGCATATAAGATTCAGATCTCACTAAAGCTCTTTGATCGTGCCTAGACATCAGAAATGATACATTTCAAGCAAAGAGATACATTGCATCTCTTGTATCTCTTTGCTTGAGATGTATCACATAGCTTCATAAACATTGGGCCAGTCTATGGAGCTGTCAAAACAAATAGCAGGGAGGTGAATCACTCTGCTGCCTCTCTGCTATTTTCAGCTGTCAAATACCAGAGTATTGACTTAATGAAAGAAATAAGCTTTTACAAAAACTTAACTATTTCATCAATGAATGCCTCAATGCTGAGGCATTCATTAATGACTGGTAACCGCTGAGATATTGACTTAATGAAAGAAATAAGCTTTTACAAAAACTTAACTATTTCATCAATGAATGCCTCAATGCTGAGGCATTCATTAATGACTGGTAACCGCTGAGAATCAGCAGTTACCGATATTACAGAGCCTGATTTAACTCGTCACGTACAGTGCACATGGCCAGTCATATAGGCACAAAGTGCCGGGACGTACAGTGTACGTCTCCCGTCACGAAGGGGTTAATATGAACCTAGAAAAACAATGAATGTGGAAAATGACAGTACTCATAGAAAGTGCAGACCACTGAAAAAGTGTAAGGAAATTCTCATATCGGAATTGGATATCCCATGGCTAAAATAATGGCGATGTGGAATATTCCTTTTTTTTTGTGGCGTCATATGTTATAATGGCTGTGTATATATAGAATTAATAAACAAATATATATTAAATAACAAAAGGAAAAAAAAAAAGTTCATGATACTGATGCTTATATCAATCCACTGATTTTTATTTATGTGCTCCATTACTCCGGTTATTACAAATCCACAGGAATCATCCACTATACAGGTGTGATGCCTCTCCATGTAGCCCCCCCCCCCAGCCAGGGTTAACTCACCAGCTATCCAGGACCTTATAATGAACAAGAAGAATATTGCAACTTCAAAACCAATATTTAAATTCCAGCCACTCCAAACCTGTTGTATCAGGAAAAAGAAACCAGGAAGCTCCGTAGTGTAAAACTAAACACTTCAATAAAAGTTTAAGAACTATAAAACACAAACTTTTCTGGTGCTACAGCGTCACCAAACTATTGCGCTCAATCCTCCTCTCCTGTTGCCTCTGAGTAGGAGTATGCTTTTGTATGGGATGACATCACTGAGCCTGCCCAGAGTAGCCCTTGTAGTAAATCTGTTTCACCGCTGCTCCTGTTTAGGCATTTTCTGTGCACCTGAATTGATGTCCCCCGATCTTAGCCTCCTCTCCGTCAGCCATTCGTACATGGCCTGTTCTACTGTAAACTCCACTATAGGACCTTATATGGGATATTAAATGATTCTGGTAAACGTCAGGCAGGTCTTGTAGAACATGGGGTTTCACTTTAGCCTTAAGGAGAAACTGTCATGAAAGAAAAAGGCCATTGCTGAGCTTTCCTTCTAAAAATGCTATTTGCCAGGCTGTCTTACTGACCCCCCTTCCTTAACCGTGATCGTGTTTCTTTACAAAGGAACCCATCTGGTCCATCCCACAAATTCTTACCTTGCCAGACTTACTCCATGGTCTCTACTGCACTAGGCAGATTATATGATCGTTCAGTATAAATGATCTTTTCAAAAAGCCTTTTCCATGTGCTGAGCCTATACAATCTGGTGCACATCATGCGAGTACAAGAAGACAAGCACGTACAAAGTAGGTGGATGGGTCCATGTCTGGCTTATATAAAAAAGAAACAATATATGTCAGGAAAAAGAGGTGGATGGACAATCTTCTAAACATGCTATCTGCCTGGCTGTCATGGTGATCCAGTGGCTGTAATACTGAATCACTATCTAGTTCTGGCAAATAAAGCCAGAATGTCTGACCTGCACTTTTTTTGTGTGTGAGAATCGGCCAGTATTAAAGACAGAGGATAAACATGACAGCCAGACAACTTAACTGGTCAGCAGTGGCAGCCTACTTATTGCTCCTATGCATGGTTTTATTTTATCATTTCAGTCCAGCCAAGCACAGGCCCTTCCTCCCATCTGAGTGGCCTTGTGCAATGGTTTCTTCTGTAGAAACATACCTCTTTGCACTTCCTATACACTCTTTGTCGCTTCCTGACCATCACACCTTTTTATGAGCTTGTTGAACATTTCGTTCCAAAACCATGTACAATTAATAGAGCACATTGACTAACATTCGCATCCAAAGACATTTTGGATAATTGTGCTCTTCCAACCTTGTGACAACCATTTGTGGAAGATCCTTTTCTGTTCCAGCATGACTGTCTCCATGTGTACAAAGACATGGTCTGCACAAACACCTCAGGCCGCTCGAGTTCCTCCACACCAGATACCTGAGCCTAACCCTATTAAATCTGTAAGAAATAAGTCAAGGCAACTGGACTTGCTGTATTTTTCTTGGATGTGTCACTGGTCATCCAACCAGCTTTCTCCATTCAGAATTACCAGAGAATTTTCATTTTGAATTGAGAAAGCTGGTCGGATGTCCAGTGACACGTCCAAGAAAAATACAGCAAGTCCAGTTGCCTAGACTTATTTTTTTACAGATATACCATGACCTGGATGAATGAGAACCTTCACAGACATAACCCTATTCAACTTCTCTGGGATGAATTGGAAAGCCAATTTGGGAGTCGAGCCTTCTAATCTTACATTAGTACCTAACCTTAATGAATGTTCTCTGGGCTGAATTGGCACAAATTCCCACAGATCTACATCCATAATGTTATGGAAAGCCTCCCAGAAGAGTGGAGGCTGATATAGCCACAAATATATTATTGGCCATAGTTTTGGAATGGGATATCCAACAGAGCTATAGGTGTTGTGATTCACAAACTTTCACCATATTGTATATATTGGAATTTGTCTGCCTGTCACCAAACTACAGTCTTATATTTTATTATTTTTAGCTACTGTTACTTTTCTAAATTGTCAGTAATGAAAATCTGTTCCGTCTCCGCAGGGAAGATTCTTAATGTCCACCCATCGCTGCTGCCGTCATTTAAAGGAGCCCATGCACACAAGCTGGTTTTGGAAGCTGGAGTGAGAGTCACTGGATGTACGGTCCATTTTGTGGCTGTAAGTATCCAGCTCTGCTTTTACCTTGCAGGACTGTACGATTTCTTATCTGTTTTTGTTGTAGTTCTATGAACTATTACTGTCATACCTAGTAAAATAAATGTACTATTTGTTGGGTAAAAGTACAAGAGTAACCCTGGGGCTGATTCATATATAATAGGAGTTTCTGTGTTGCCTATAGAACCGGCTTTTATAGATTTTAGCTTTCCCTTTTCAAGTGTAGTTTAGTCATTATTACCATCTTGTCTTGAATTGTCTTCCTTCTATTGTAAAGCGCTGCGCAAACTGTTGGCGATTTATAAATCCTGTATAATAATAATCTGTGCATCCATGGGTCCATAAATGTTACTATGTATGCTGTGACTATTTTGCAGGAGGAAGTTGATGCTGGGGCCATTATCTTTCAAGAAGCTGTTCCAGTGGAGTTTGGGGACACAGAAGAGACTTTGTCAGAAAGGGTTAAGAAGGCCGAGCATCGAGCCTTTCCTGCTGCCTTGCAGCTTGTGGCCAGCGGGGCGGCACAGCTTGGAGTAGATGGCAAAATCTGCTGGGACAGGACTCCTGCCAACAACTAGATTCCAACAGACTTATTCAAATGAAGGAATGCAAAGTGCAGTAACGAAACCCACATGAGCCGACTGCAGTAATCTGATTGATTGCTATGGCTGATAATCCAGGTAACTAATATTATGCAGTGCACCAGCCAGGACTTGATGGTACTATTAAGTATACCACTGATGGTCATCATTTCAGGTACTAGTAATGGCCCTCCAGTCATTGGCACTCTGGTATTAAACTGGAGCAAAGAAAGCATCTTTTTTTCCCCCATAGCAACCAATCTGATTTAAGACCCAAGAACACTATGTGCTGTGACTTGCATTTTTCTGCACTGCATCAATGCCAGTTGCCACATGGCTACATTGAGGGGAATATATCAAAACTGGAGCAGACAATCTGGAGCAGCTGTGGATGGCAACCAATCACCATCCACCTTTTCATTTTTAAACTTCAGCTGAAGAGAGAAGCTGATTGGTTGGTTGATAAGGGCAACTGCTCCCAGATTCTTCTGCTCCAGTATTGATAAATCCCCCCATTTGTTGTCTGTGTGTGCATCGCAGCATTATTCTGCTGTGCACTGGATGACAACGGACGTCTTCATATGCAGCACACTGCTCTACTGTCCAGAGACCTGAACAATGTGTACATGTTATAGTCTTCCCAAAAAGTACAAACTGAAATATTGCATTGCCCCCTCCCAATCTGGCAAAATGGACAGTAGCTTGTGTGCTAAAATTCAGCATTTGAGTTTGCAGGCAGTGTGAATGGGCTCTAAAGGAAACCCATAAGCTGCTACTGCTGACCTGCATCCAAGAATACACATTGCCTGCCTGTGTCTGCTTTGTCATTTTCCTGAGTTTGCAGTCGGGAACAAGCTGTCAAAATGCCATCTGCATAGTTGCTCCAGGTCAGTGGTTGTGAAAGACGGTGGATCAGCATGACGGTCAGCCAGCTTTTTCCAGGTTCCCATGAAAAGTTAATTCTCAAACAATACTTTTTTTTTTTTTTTTTTTTTTTTTAATTCAACCTCTTATGTATATTTCAGCTTTATAATAAGTGTGCATATGTTTCCTTTCCACAAAGACACTTCTTTATTAAATGCAGCAAAATACATACAATGTTGCACTCATTTATTCATTCCCTATTCAACTGTGTCCTTAAACATGTGTTTAAAAACCTGTTGTATGTCTTCTGTTCCAAATTTTTTTTCTACATTCCATTGTGGGATAGGTTACCATTAATTCCATCACCCTGCCCCTACCGGCCATAAAGCTAACTCTGAGTAAAACTAATGCTCACTGGTGACTGCAGAGTTTTGACATGAGGTGTGTTGTACCACTGCAGAGAGATCACTGCTTTCTCACAAAGAGGAACTATCCCACTCGGCAGCTGCTGGCAGGGGGACAGGCTTTTCTACTCTGCTTGTGGCTGTTAAAGCAAATTGTAAGTCTTTGCACATCTTTTGTTTTGATGGTCCTGGAGTGTATTTAAGCCGAAAGTTCACTGGATTTTAAATACTAGTCGTCTGACTTTAACCCTGACTCTGTGACTTCAATACAAGTCAGTGACTTGTAACAAGTAAGCAGGGCACAAAGTTGCTAAAGCCTCAAGTGCTTATCTCTGTACTGAAGCAAAAGGATAGGCATGGCAACCGAGCAGCCAGTATTTTCAGAATAAGCGAAGGCGGTCTTCATGTGCCTTTTAAGAAAGGTTTGCATAAAATAGAACATTCAGTACGTCACCCATACTCAATACATAAGTTACGGATTGTAATCTGTACATACACATTGTAAACCTCCTGTCATAATAAAATTGTATATATGAGGTTTGGTACATCTTGTCTGAATTGTCACTTTTTATGTGGTTTATAAATGTGAAGCTAGTTTACTTGGATTGTGACATCATTTAATTGTTTACAAATCTAAATGTGCTCAGTTGATGGGTGAGTAGTAGTGAGGGGTGAATACGTATATGAAGTGCAGGGGTATAGGACAGGGCCTAAGAAAAATGAATATGGTCAGTCCTGTCCCCCGCACTGTCAATCATTGTGCTTCTAAAGTGACTACCTGACTTGATGCCACCTGCCTACAGAATACCAGAAGTAATCAGTCTTCTGTCCTCCAGGATATGTGGCTGTCGGTCCCTAAGTGTATTGTTCCGCTGGACACCAGATGCAGAGCTTTGGCTATAGCCCTTGGTTCAGCTTCTTCCATGTACTCGGTGACAGGGACCTCTGAGCCTGCAAGGACTGTCTCTTGTAGCACTGTAGGTCCGGGAGAGGAGATGCCACCCTGTGAATAAAACACGTGGAACAATATAAGATGTAAATTGTACTCTCCATAGACATCAGCTTATTAGGATTGCAAAACCATCCTTGCAAATGTATAGAACGCTTTACAGTGTTTGGAAGATTTGTGGCCCCGAGGATAGTTGGGTTGTGCCTGCATGTCTAACTGCACTTAAGTCCAAATCTGGGCTGCTTTAAAATGCACACATGCTGTATCATTCCTCCCCACCACACACTTCTTGGATTAAATGCTTCTTTTATATAGGGGTTTGGAAATGAGTACAAATATCCATCCTATTCCTGGCTTCCCTGACAGCCCATGCTCTTTTTTTTTTTTTCTCTTTCCTGCGCTCTCCAACATCCCAGGGTGTGAACAGGTCCTTGTCAATGTCAAGTACAATGCAGGCCTTCTGGTCCTGCATTGTATGTGATGATGTTGGAGAGACTGCATCTAGAGGAATGGTGAAGAGAAGCAGTTGGGGGGGCAGGGGCGGGTGGTGTGTGGGTGTCAGAGGAAGCCTGTGAGACTGGGGAATAAACTATATTGTTCACCTTATTTATCACCCCTTAGAGCAGGGGTAGGCAAATTGCAGCCCTCTATGGTGAAACTACATATCCAGTCATGCCTCTGCCATTTCAAGACCTGCCTGTGGCTGGTGGAATCTTGCAATGCTGCCTAATGGTGGTGGTAGGGCAATGCATAGGTAAAATTTACATCAACCCAGAGCAGGCAAGCTATCAGCCATAGACTTTCATTGGGACAGGCAAAGTGAAATAAACATAATGATTCTCATTTAAAGTCCAAAAGCAGCACTAATGAAATATAAAATACTCACCAGCAGGAAAGAGACCTGGCAGCCATATAGCCCCATTGCCTTCCCAGAAGCCCCTTCTGCTTTGTGTGATGAGGAAAGTTGTGCATGGAGCTTCAAAATCTTTCCTGATGAAGAAATATTAGATAATACACAGAGTTAGTCAATTCTCTGCAGCACTGGTAATGTGGAGCTTTATTGGACTGTTTTATAGACCATCAATCTTTAGAAAGCCTGTATTTTTTTGTTCTCATTTTGCTATTGCTAAAGTTCTGATTCTTGAGCATTACTTTGACCCTAGATTCTGCCTTCCTTATAACCATTCCATCATTTCTCATGGGCCTGGGATTTTGCTGTGTTATCTTACTGATTTGGAATGTCAGTTTTCATTTCTTATTTGCGTTGTAAACTTTTTGTAGCTCTCCATGCAATAGTTGCATCCTGTACCTTTCCATTTCACAAGGAACTCTTCTGACAATGTCCGTCTAAAGCCAGCCAGGCAGATCACATCGATGGAGAACTCGTCCAGCACTCTACATAATGTATTCTCAAAATCAGAATGGCATGTGAACAGCGTATGGTCGATCACCTGCATATATGAATACAAGTGCCAATGATACAAATCTGGAATGTGCCAAAGTTTTAGTTTATCAAAACATTATTTTGCACCCCTATGAAATTTTGGACAAAAAACAAAATAACGAAGCTACTACTATGATGCCGTACAAGCTGACCTAAAATAACAATGACTACACTGCATATTTTTCAATATTTGGTTACGTTTCTAGACACATGAAGAAAAAAGTACTGAGAAGGAGAAATGAAACAATGTTTTCTCATTTTATGTAAACAAAGGTATCCTCAGCATTCCTAAACATGCGTTTCCCCTGCTCATGACTGGCAACCAACTGTGAGCTAGACTAGGGAGCATGTGCACCTAAAGCTATGATCCTTTCTTTATTATACCTTTGCATGCATTATGCTTTGTGTCTGCAGACAGTTTATGTCTTCTCTACAGCAAATGTGTATGTATATGTTATAGCCAGGATCTGAGGGGCAGGTGGGCAACAGACCCAGCCGATAGAAAAAGAGTAAGTTATATAAAATCTGTTCCAACTGACGATTTGACTATTAGTAACTGGTAAAATGTGGTCCAGGACATCTTACCAGATCATAAATTGCAGAATATGCAAAATGCCCCCATTCCATAGAATATTCCCCTGCTTTTCCTGCCACACAGCAAGTTTTGATCCTACTTTAAATTTTACAGAGGGGTATGGGGCGAGAATTCCATTCAGGAATAGGATGTCATCACCCTAATAATAATATTACCATACTTCTTATTAAATGCTTACCTAGTAAGGAAGTATAGTACTTATGGCAGTGATATCTTGCTGCATAAACCTTGTGATGTTAAAAGTAGGAGCCCCATGTCAGCAGCTAGACCAGCATTTACCTATTCTTAACAGGAAGTAAATGAGCTTTAAAACAATCAAATAGGCAAATAGTTGCGCTAGGGGAAATACTGTGTAAATGGTCACCAGCTGCAACAATGTGTGATAAAAACCATAAACAATGTAACTGATATGTTGCGCTTGGTATTGCTAATCTACTGAATTAAACACCACCATGTGTATGTGATTAATTTATAAATATACCTGTGTGCTGATTAATTAGAATTGGTGATTGATGTATGATGTATCACCCTGTGTATACACTCACTCAGTGTATTGTGTGTCGGTGGGAAATGAAGACTTAATCGTCCACTGCACCGCAAATGATAAGAATAAATAAAATGTGATTGTTCTATTAGTGAAATTAGTCTGAAAAAGTGTGTATCGTGAGCCGGTGAGCCTTTAGAGAAAGTCCAGAAACAACAAAACGCGTCAAGGGCAATATCGGCTCCGTCTCCCATTGACCAGAAGGCTCGCTTGGCTGAGTGCTCCTACCACTCAATGT